TTACCCATACTGCATTGTGTTTTTGTTTTAAAAACAAAACGGCGGAAAGCAGGAGACAGGAAGCAGTGATGAGGAGAGATCTGAAATTTGATATCAGTAAAATTGGAGCTCTCCATTTTAAATTTGTTAATGCAATGAATTGTGGGAAACTATATCAATCTTTTGGTGATGGACCCCATCACTGAACATACATACTGCATCACTTTAAATTTTTTGGAAAAAAATAAAGCATATAACTATTTGTGAAATAAAGGAACTAATACAAATTACCATATTAGAAACACAGAGCAGCAAATGTATGCCAAAACACAAGCCTAATTTATATACTTACTCAATAACACTCAAAAATATCCACATAAAAACATTTTTTTTAAAATTATATTCGAAAAATAGAGATAAGATACTCACCACTGCATAATGACTCATATGTTCAATTGCATCATTTTTATTGCCTTCTGTACACCGTGGTAATATAGCTGTGTCTGCACCCTTACAAACCATTAAAGTACGTCCTAGTAAAAAATACCATAGTATGTCAGTCACATGTGGTGAAGTTATACCTTGAATTAATCTACATATGTTGAAAATAACATACCTATGGGCAGTCTAAATCTATTCTTGAAATGATGCATGCAAGTATGTAGTACATCTTTACATCATATAAAACATGTTTTGTCACTACTGAATGGTTGTAATAGGTCATGTGAAAGCCAATCAGATTGAATTAATTTCTCAGCATTGTTTAGAATAGTGTTGTAATATACTGGACACCTGTCTTACCGTCTGGTGTATTGAGAATAACGCTCATTCTCTTTCTAGTGGCATCAAAGTCCAATATGTGCTTGATCAAATAACGTTGTTTTTTACCATTTATGAGTAAATTCATGTATTCTTGGGTTCCTCCTAAAAATATGACATCATTCCTGAAAACAAGAACAGTGAGTATGAAGTTCTTGTGACAGTACAGTGGCTATGACCTACCCATGTAGTATGTGGCACACTCACAAGAGTACAGTGGCTTTGACCTACCCATGTAGTATGTGGCACACTCACCAGAGTACAGAGGCTATGACCTCCCCATGTAGTATGTGGCACACTCACCAGAGTACAGTGGCTATGACCTACCCATGTAGTATGTGGCACACTCACAAGAGTACAGAGGCTATGACCTACCCATGTAGTATGTGGCACACTCACCAGAGTACAGTGGCTATGACCTACCCATGTAGTATGTGGCACACTCACCAGAGTACAGTGGCTATGACCTACCCATGTAGTATGTGGCACACTCACCAGAGTACAGAGGCTATGACCTCCCCATGTAGTATGTGGCACACTCACCAGAGTACAGTGGCTATGACCTACCCATGTAGTATGTGGCACACTCACCAGAGTACAGAGGCTATGACCTACCCATGTAGTATGTGGCACACTCACCAGAGTACAGTGGCTATGACCTACCCATGTAGTATGTGACACACTCACCAGAGTACAGAGG